ATACTATAAATAAAATTAAAAGACAAAAAGCAGGCTAGAAGAAAAATATAGTAAATAATTTCCTCAAATCTGTGAGAATACAAAATAATAGAAAAAGGGACAAAGAATGGGTTAAAAATGTTAAGACAGTTCCTAAAATGTAAGTACCAATGGACAATAAACTTGTGAACTAGTAAAATTGGAGAAATGTAAATTAACCTGGCACCAATTTGTACACCTCAGATTGGTACAAATGAAAAGGTTAAAAAAAGGACATGAACTAGATGCTTCTGAATACAAAGCTGAGAATATAAATTGGTTGTCTTTTTAGAGAGCAATATGGCTCTATAATAATATTGTAACCCTAATGATTTTAAATGTACATTTCTTTGACCCAGAAATTCTATTTCAAAAATATACTCATACATTTGCTTATGAATATGTACAGGAAACTTTTAATAAAATTATTTGTAACAACGAACACATTGGGAATAATCTAATAATCTGTCACAGTATCTCAGCTAGCTTCTTTCTGCCTTTGAGATAGAAATTTAAAACCTGTTTCCCTGGTTCCTGAAAGTTCCTGCTTACTCCCTGTATTTAAGAGCAAGTGCTTCCCAGTAGCCTGAATAAGATAAAAGAGCAGAAAGACTGTGAAGGTCCCTGTTGCTTTTGCTATCTTCCTCCGCCAGGAACTGTTGCCCCTTTGCCATCCCTTCCTTGGAGCCAGCCGATTGTGGACTGAAACCTCTACAAACTGTAAGCCAAATAAACCTTTTCCCCTCTAAAACAAACAAACAAACAAAAAAAAAAGCAAGTGCTTGTGACATGAAAGAGAAGATGGCTCTGACATCCCAGGTACCCAATCTCTCAGCGACATGGTTTCTTCTGGATACCTGTTTACTTCTGCCTATAGTGTACTTCTCATTTTTCACTTCTATATTTTTTAATGGGAATTTCTGAGGCTGGTAACCCAATTCTGTTGGTGATTTTTATTAGCAGCAAGTAATTTTTAGGGGAGTTTGCATATAGAAAATTTGGCGGAGCATTAAGAGAGCTACTTTAGAATAAAACAAAATTTCATTTTTGGCAAGTTTAAAGAGCCCATACTACATTGCATATAATGAAAATTAATGCTTCATTTCCATGGCATTTGCCCTGACAAATTCCCTTGATTTATTCAAAATGAAATGACTAATGTGTTAGTCATTCTTGGGCTGTAAATATGAGAAAGAAATCTGTATTTCCTGACTAGAGATAAAGAAGAGTTAGTTACCTCTGTACTCCAGCTATAAAACTCCCTGACAGGATATTTATCAAACATTGATCAGATGTTCTTTATCCAGTAGTTTTGATTTGCATAGATCCCAAAATTATTAACAGAAGCCAGCAATTGAGTTAGACCAGCAATGACTGATATTATGTGAGCCACAAAATTTAAAGTTTGTTATTAGCCACATTAAAAAAGTAAGTTGGATTTGGTGGTGTATACCTATAATCCTAGCACTCTGGGAGGCTGAGGTAGGTGGATCTCAAGTTTGATTCCAGCCTGGTCAACTTGGCAACTTACTGAGACCCTGTCTCAAAATAAAAAGGGGTAGGGATGTAGCTCCACGCAAAGGCCATGGGTTCAATCCTCAGTACCTTTAAAAAAGAGAGAGACAAAAGTGACAGAACTTTTAATATTTTTACCCAGCACATTAAAACTATTTCAACATGTAACCAACATAAAACTGTAATTTTACATTTTTCTGAAGGCACTAAGTCAGTGGACATTTTGTATTTTTAATGGACATGTCAGTTTGGACTAGCCATATTTCAGTGGCTGTTGCATTGGACAGAACAAGGCTAGATTGCAAGCTCCAGAGGACAAAGATATGATTATTTTATCATTGTATCCCCAGCCCCTGGCCCAGTAACAGTACATAGCTGGTGTTCAGTAATACTTTTGATTTAATGAGTGAATGAGAGGATAACTTTTGTAAAGAACCATCTTTTCATTGAGTCTCAACATATAATCAATGCGAGTAAGTTATATTTGTCACACAAATAGTTGGCTATTTTAGTCCTTATGGACTGAAAACCTCTACAAACTGTAAGCCAAATAAACTCTTTCCTCTCTAAAAATCCAAAAAAGTACAAGTGCTTGTGACATGAAAGAGAAGATGACTCTGACATCACAGGTACACAGTCTCTCAGCTACATGGTTTCTTCTGGATACCTAGAGTTTACTTCTGCCTATAGTGTACTTCTCATTTTTTACTTCTGTATTTTCTAATGGGAATTTCTGAGGCTGGTAACCCAGTCTAAATTTCTTGTTTTTTCTTTGGTACTGAGGATTGAACCCAGGCTTTCACACATGCTAACCACATGCTGTACCACTGAACTATATACCCTGAGTTATATACCCCTAGTCACATCTGTCCCGTAAGCATAATACTATAATCTCAGAGTTCACAGAGAATTGGATACTATTTTGGTCATCCTGTCACTGTTTTCTTTGACCTGCACTTAAAGTCAACAAAACTCTTTGACCTATTGTGTATCTTCAACTGTTTGGGCATTGTGGGTAATACTGTGGAGCTGTGACTTACAAACTCAGTTCATTCACAAGGGCTTATTGTAACTCAGGTTGGTCAGTTGAAGGCTCAAGCTCCTCTATATAGCCTTCAAAGTCTCTCTCCTGTATAATTTTAGGCCACACTTTATTCCAGGCATGTCTCAGCCCAGGATTTCCTAGTTAATCCCACACCGAAAAGGATGTTGTAATGTTCCTTCCAGAACTTTTTAAGGGTTAAATGTATCTGAGGCCATCTGGAACCACAAGCAGCTGCCATTCAGGCCATAACTCAAGACTTTGGCTGTAAGTTAAAACTAAAATTCTGGTCATACCCAAGTTATTTGTATGTCAGGTTGGTTGTAACTCGAGGGTCCACTGTACAGGGTAATTGTTATACATTATTTTTGCCGTGGGAGTTTATAATTATTTAGAGAAGAAAAACTGATGAAATGGGAAAAATTAAATGAAAATTAGTTAACTCCTTGTTCTGTGTTTTTGTGTGCTCTAGGTTTGATTATAGAAAGGTGAGTACAGGTTGGATGAGTTGCATGCCTGTTAATCCTAGCACTTGGGAGGTAGGGACAAGAAGATCTTGAGTTCAGGGCTACCTGTGTACCATAGCAAGAGTAGTTAGTGGATATCTTGTCTGAAAAAAACTAAAAGGGAAGGAAGGGAGAGAGAGAAGGGGAGGAAAGATAAGCACGTCCCTCTTCTTTCAGATACCTTACAACCTCCTATATAGACCAGTACGCATTTTAACTTAATCAGTATTTAAAATCTGTGAGGTACAGTAATAATGCCCCACATACAGATGCAGATGAGAAAGCTAACTTAGTGAAAGTCACTGACTTGCTCAAGATAGCACTTAGAAAGACCCTGGATTCAAACAGATATTATGGGAGCTCTTCCTCCTTCTTCCTCACTGTTCTCTGTGTTTCCAAAGTCCTAGAAAGATAAATTGAGTTCTTCCTTTAAGGTAAATCGTAGCTCATTAGTAAATATGCCGATTGTAGTTTATCTGATATATTATTATTTATATAATTTTGGTATAATCTTGTTAATTGTACATGTTTACCCCACTTTATGGTTCAGACAGTCCTGCACCAGAAAGGCCCTAAGGTCTTGTTAGGGATAAATACCAGCATGGACCAGACTTGCAGGAATCTACACCACTAGGAACTGAGGAGCAGGGAGGCTAGGCTAAGGTGTGAGGCAAGGACTCTTTCCAGACAGGGGCTGACTGATTGTGGTGGTAGTGGTGTGGGAGACTGATAGGTTAGTAGGGGAAAAACTCTGAAGTGCTGGGCTGTGGACTTAGTCCTTGAGCAGTACTGAACGATTGAAGACAGGACTGATGTGGACCAGTGACTCAGTAGTTCACTGGGTGTTTAGTTGCTCTAAATTATGCAAAATTTCTTTTCAGTTCTTGTTTAGAAGTAAATCCTAGAGAGTGGGATTTTAATTTGAAAAAATATTTAAAGCCTGTTAGGTTGGTTATACATTTTTATTGGTATAATAGATGTTTATTAGGTAGATCTAGTGTTACCCTAAATATTAATTAACATTATACTAGTATCTGTTACATATGAAAGTAGATTGATCTTTTGGGTAACAAACAATAGCTTCTTATTCCATCCTTTATACAGTATATTTAAGCATCTTTGGTTCTGTAGCCATACAAGGGTTTCTGTAGACTGGTATAAAAGATTATAATGATAACAAATAATATAAAGTTTTGAGTTTTTTAACCTCAAAAATAATCTTGAAGTAATTTTTAGTGAAATAGTTGCTATTTAACCATCAGAAATTTTTATCGTTAAATGATAGAGATAGCTTTTCTTAGTAATGCTTATAATAGACTAAAAGATGTTCTTTGAGATAAATATATTTTTTGTTAAATGCCTGGAATGGTATTTAAATTCTAAATTTTGCTATGACCTCTTAAGAGCTAGTTTTCTTTATAAGTATATAATTATGTATTGTGGAAAAGCCATAGATTTTATGTGTGTATATTTTTATTTATACATGACTCATTCATATTTTTTATCATTTATGTAGTTTTCTAATGTTCATAGTTCAGTTTCCCTAATATTCCATAGTTCAGTTTTTTCTTCTTGAAGGAAATAAGAAAATTTGTCCTGTTAGCTTTTGGATTTCTAAACCTCTTCTCTTTCTTTTCTTGAAAATTCCAAGTTGTCAGCCATTTTCTTGGATATATTATGCTGTTATCTCCCTTTGTAAAATCTTTTTACAGTTATCAAAATTTAAAAGTAGCCATATGAAGTAAAAGTGGAGATTAGCTCCTTAAAATCTTAAGTAGTATATGTGAATATATAAAATAACCTATGCAAATTAAAAAATACATCCATTATAAATCTTCCCTGATTTCCTTTTGAAGCTCAAATGTTTGTGCTTTTAATCTGGTTGGCCACTTGTGGAAAACTGTTGTCTTCTCTCCTAGGCCACAGACCTCCACCAGCACGCAGTGGACATCGCTGTGTGGCAGATAATACCAACCTCTATGTGTTTGGAGGGTATAATCCAGACTATGATGAATCAGGAGGGCCTGATAACGAAGACTATCCTCTCTTCAGGGAGCTGTGGAGGTATCATTTTGCAACAGGAGTGTGGCACCAGATGGGCACCGATGGCTACATGCCCCGGGAATTGGCATCTATGTCACGTGAGTGCTAGGATTATGAACTTTTGACTTCCAGAAACGTCGAGAGGCCAGGTTCAATTGTCACATGTTCCTTGTTTAATTTTATAGTACTGTAATATGACCAAACCCAATTAATAGGCATTTTATTGCAGTAAAATGTACAAAATATAATAATACAGCATGGTGATTCAGAATCACTTAGATCCCGAGTTTGAATCCAGCAGTATACCATTTGCTTGCTGGATAAATTTAAGATTTATTCTTAACTTGTAAGTGGAATTAATAGTATCTCACAGGGTTTAAGATAAAGCATCATATATATGCTAGGCAAAGTGCAGTCCATCAATAAATAAGGTTGCAGTGGTAATAGTTATTGAATAGAGTACTTCACACATATTATCTATATTATTTGTATAACATTCCTGTGATGCAGGCACTGTAGTGATTGCCATTGTACAATTGAAGAAACAGGCTTTAGAGAAACCCTGAGGGCAACAGCTTAGGGTGCAGGCTCTGGAGCCAATGCTTAGAAGTGAATACTTCTTTGGCAAGGCTCCTTTAGGATGCCACGGCAAGTTGTTTAAACCACTGTTAAGCTCTGTTTCATCTTATATAAAAAGGGCGAAGATAATGATTCCTTCCTCATAGAAATGTTATGAAGATTAAGTCAGGCAAATTAAATAGCTTTCTTGAGGTCACAGTGGAATTTAAACACAACTCTTGCTGGCTCTGGAGCCCAGACTATTGACCACTACATTGTATCAATTAGAAAATTGCTTTTAAAAAAAAAAGCCACTGAAAAGATAGGGCGGCACTATTTTGAGTGAGAAAGTGTGCATGAGAGAAAGTACGTGTGCTGTGGCAAGAAAAGAAGAAATAGAGGAAGAGCCCCAAATTTACCTTTAGGATATTGGTATGTTTGTTTTTATATAGTAAAGGATTAAAATGTCAGAAATCATAATTGAAAATGTAGAGATCGTCCACCTAACAAATACAGAATTATTCTTTTATCTCTTCATCCTGAGACCCACAGGGTTTTTGCTAAGGCAAAGATGATGCTTTATTTTCCTTTGCTTGTGGTGTACTTAAACTGTTTTGAGCAGGAGTGGTCTACCCTAGTTAACTCAGCATTGCTATACACTAATGAATTCCGCAAACATACCTCACAGTGAGCTGTATGATTCAGTCCTGCCAGTAATAGCGAACCTTTTAGAGATGAATGCCTGTACCGCAACCCAAATCTCACTTACTTATTGCAAAATGCCAACAGTGCAGTTAAACCTGAATATCGAGGTTTTAGTTTAGAAACTAAAACTTATACATTAACATCTTTTGTCTTAAAAGGAAAAACAAACAAACCACGTATGTGCCTTAGGTTTGTCACCACTGGTCTACAAAGTGTGAATGATACACCATCTACTTTGATGCCAGTGTTTGTAGGAATTTTTGAGCTTTTCAGGTATTCCGGGTTTGTGTGGGAATACAGTGCAGTACATAAATGTAATATGTGCTTCTTCTCCCCAGTCGTGCTACATGGAAACAACCTGTTAGTGTTTGGAGGTACGGGCATCCCATTTGGTGAGAGCAACGGCAATGACGTCCACGTCTGTAACGTGAAGTATAAGAGATGGGCTTTACTCAGCTGTCGGGGGAAGAAACCCAGTCGTATATATGGACAGGTACCAATTTATGACCAATTTGTGAATATATGTGCTCACATTTTTCTAATCTGGAGGCAATGTCAGAATATTTATATTAGTACCAAGATTTTTTTAAAACAAAGAATGAATTTAGTGTGGTTGGTTTTTGATTTTTCAATTCTGATGTAAAATTATAATTTGCCATCCCCCTTGCCTTGTTTCTAATACCTGTAGGGTCATGGCCAGACCTGTTTGGAAGTTTCTTTAAATGTTTTAAACTTACCTGCACCACCATCCCCACGTGGGGATGGGACTCTGTCTAGTGTGATCTGGGTTCTGTCATTAGAGTGCTAGAGGTCTATGAAAAGCTTTCTTTCTGAAGTAGTAGACTAGATGATCCCTATACTTGGTTAAGAGACATTTATATGAACTAAAACATTATGTAGAGATTACTTTAAGTTCCAGGACTTAGGTTTGCAAAATTATATCCAGAAAGATATGGCAATACCTACCATACAGCCTCTGATCCATCCTTTTACAGTAGAGGGCCAGACTTAACTATGCTTTGTGATCTTTCTCAACTAGCTGGCTTTGCACTGATAAACAGTTTCTGAGCTTTCACTTTGAAAGGGGACATAGTGTATCACTCTGGATCCTACCACATGAGGCACTTGAATGCTAAGAAGTAAGCCCAAGGCCTGGATTAAGCTCAGCGATTTCACCACCTGCCTCGCACGCACAAGGTCCTCAGTTCGATCCCTGGTACTATAAAAAAAAGGAAGCCCAACAAGTAGCTGAACTCACATTGAAGAATATTCAGATAGAAAATGTCAAGATACTGCACCACCAACTTGACTTCCTGCCTATAGAATTCTGGTGATTTATTTCCATATCTGTTGCTGGTTCTTGAGAGTTTTTTTTTTCGGTCTTTTGAGACAGGGTCTCACTGTGTAATTGAGATTGACCTGGATGGAACTCACTATGTAGCCCAAGCTGGTCTCGAACTCACAGCAATCCTCCTGCCTCAGCCTCCTGAGTGCTGGGATTACAGGCTTGCGCCACCACGCCCGCCAAGAGCATTTTTCTTTAGACTGCTTAGGGAAAAAAGCAACTTTCAGTGGATATACTAATGTCTGTGAGCTATGTTCTTGGCTAGCACTACTAAGAATCATCTAACCCCTTGCATGTAGGTAAAATTTATAAAGCTGTACAAGCTTACTCTAAGTTCTCTAAAGTCTTATTCCTCGAGGTGTCTGGTATTTTTGTCTTTTTTTTTTTTTTTTTTTTTTTTTTTTTTTTTTCTTTTTTTAGGACTCAAGTGATCCTCTCACCTCAGCCTCCTGAATAGTTGGGACTACAGATGCATACCCTGACACCCAACTTTACAATTTGATATTTTAAGAGGTTAAAAAGAACAAGAGAATTTCATGAAACCTAATTTGAGGGTATTTATCAGGTTTACATGTTTAATCAAAAGTGTTAATGAGTCGTTCTTGTTTGCCTTCCCTTGTTACCAGGCCATGGCCATCATCAATGGGTCCCTTTATGTCTTTGGAGGGACAACTGGCTACATTTACAGCACAGACTTGCACAAGTTAGATCTCAATACCAGAGAGTGGACACAGCTGAAACCCAACAACCTGTCCTGTGACCTGCCAGAGGAAAGGTGAGCTCCTAGTGTGAAAGTGTAGTCTGTCTTTCTTGTTGAGATTTGACTATTTTCAGAATATTGGCAATATGAAGAAAACCCTTTGGCCTCAGTTAAAATAGCTAACAGGCTGTTAGATTCTGGTTAGTAGTAAAGAAAGATTTTCTGGTGAAAAAATTGTATATTCTCTTAAACTATGGAATTTTTTCATGTTATTTTTCTCTTATACTTTTGAAGAAGAAACAAGTGGTAGCAGTTACAACTAAAGTTTATACTGGTGATCAGTGAATGTTGATTGGTTAGAAGGAAAGATAGACGGGTGTGTGAGTGGAAAGAAAGGTCATTTCTTTTAAGTGCTCTGTTAGACACTCCAGCATCATGTGGTGTTTCAACTTTTCATTGTTATGACAAAAATATTTGATATAAACAGCTTAAAGGAAGAAAGTTTTATTTTAGCTCGTGGTTTCATGGTTGGCTGCCTCAGTTGCTTTAGGCCTGTGGTGAGGAAGAACATCATGGCAGAAGGACATGGGGAGGAAAGCTACTTACCTTATGGCAGCCAGGAAGTAAGGGGGCCAGAGAGGAAGAGGTTGGGAGAGCTGTATTTCCCAGGCTCATGCCCCCATGCTGCACTTGCTTCAGTTAGGCCCCTCCTAAATCTTCATCACCTTCCAGCAATGCCATCAAGTTATAAATCCTATCAGTGGATGAATCTGCTTATCAAGTTAGAGCCCTAATGATTCAATCACTTTCAAAAACTCATGTGTTTAGAGATAGGCCTTTTGAAAGGGATTGATCCAAATCACAGCATATGATTCTCTCTAGTTGCCTTCTGTAGGAGTCCTAGACCTTTCTGTTATATACAGAGCACATGAATCCACTTGTCAAAAAATAGGCGTTTGAAAGGAAAGTTTATTCCAGTGAACAGGGACTAAAATCGGGAGATTCTAGCAGCTAGCTGGAAAAGATTTCATCTGTGGGTGGATGGGCACAGTAGGAGAGAGATATTAGCAGCTAGCTAGGAAAGGAATTAGGCTTATATAGGCATTAAAGGGGCTAAGGAAAGTGGGAACAAACAAACAAAAATTGCAGAACTCCTATGAGAAGACCTGGAAAGGGGGAAGCTGTTACTAGAATGATTGTTATGTAATTTATGTTATCAGCACTGGGACCTTCAGGGCAAAAAAGGAAACAGATTAAATTTTTAAAGCATTTTCTCATAGTTACATTCTTAAAGTCATTTTATGGACATATTATAAATTTTCTCAGATTCTAGCTAGACTGCCTGGATAAGAGTTCTGATAGGTGTTTCATATTATAGTCATAATTTCCTGCCAAATAAGTATTTTTATTTGGAAACGCATAGTTTAGGGTCTCTGACTAACTATAGCTATATCACTTTTTAAAACTCTTAAATAACTTCTCCCTTACACAGAGTTATTGCAAAAAGATTATTAAAAATATAGAAAACCCAAATAAGCCAAATGAAGAAAAATTTTTAAAACTGTAAACTCAGAAAGATAATCAGGGTTAACATTTAGATTATATCCTTATGGTCATTTTCTGTGCATATTTGTATATCTGTAAGTTTTTAATATTATAGTCTGTTTTGTGTGTAACTGATTTTTTGGTTGATGACATAAAAAATTCTCATTAACCATCCTCCATGGCTGAATTCTTATTGTTTGTGTATTAATACATTTTATGTATATTATATAATACATTGAAGTAATTTACCATTGCTAAACAGCTTATTTCTAATAATTTATTATTATAAAGTGACATAAAATATTATAGCTAAGTCTTAGGTAGATCATTTTTCACTTAATTATAAGCATTATCTTATTACACATTTTCAGATACAGACATGAAATCGCTCATGACGGGCAGAGGATTTATATCTTGGGAGGTGGTACTTCCTGGACAGCGTATTCCTTAAACAAGGTATATTAAAAAGAAGAAGAAAAAAAGGAAGAGTGAGGATAGATAGAGGTGTATATCTTACTAAGCAGGATAAGTCTGCTGTTTTGGGTATTTTAATTTTTGAGCAGCTCCCCGTCAATAACTTTTGTGTAGTTGTTCTTCATACTATGAAGTTGAACTCTGCACCCCTAACAGCTGCATTTATCACATGCTGAAAATACTGCATGAAAATTATGTCCTGATGCTGGGTGAAGAAAGGAAGGTGTAGTAGCTTGAATGGAGCAACAGACTAAAATTGTAACTGCAGTTCCTAGAATGTCACATTTATCTCATCATCAATGCTGTGTATCTAAAAAAAATCGGCATGTTTAGGGCTGCATGTCACTAACTTTAGAAAGCTGAGCTCTGAAAGGCTTTTATTCATGTATCCCTGTGGCATTTCTAAAATGTCATGGTTACACATCCCAGGGCAAATCTAGATTAGGCTGCGAAGCTCCTGGTTTGCCTTGGAACCTTAATGGTCTCTTGAAGTTTTGTCAAAACTGCATTCCAGCATTTCCTTATCAGCGCTTGCTTTTCCTGTTATAAAATGATACACATTCACTGTAGAAAATGTAGAAATCTTTAGAGCAGCACACAGAAGAAAACCAACAATAACATGTACTTCTCATTCCAACCTTTTCTTCATTTTTTGATGAATTTAAAAAATTGCTATCATATGTGCGGTTAATATTCAACTACTCATTTAATGTTTGGTTTACATTAGTATTAAGATCAGAGAAAAGCAAAAGATAACCAAAAGGGCTTTTTCACCAAGAATATATATTTGCAAAGTTGATGTTAAAAGTCCAGTTTTCTGTATGGGAAATCTGTGTACCTTCTGCTCAGTTTTTCTGAAACTGCTCCAAAAAATAGTCCATTTTAAAAAATTCATTTTCAGGCTAAAGGGATGGATTTTTAAAAAATCTTTGTATATGTTCTTTTTTTCTTCCAGATCCATGCATACAACCTTGAAACAAATGCCTGGGAGGAAATTGCAACAAAACCCCATGAAAAAATAGGTAAATTAAGAGTATTGATTCATTTGTCTTTAGCAAATGTATTTTATACTTTTGTTAGGGGAGGAAAAAAAGTAATTTTCTTTAATTATATGGCAAATAAATTACCTGTTGAACTGGTAAATTATATGGCAAATAAAGTATCTGTTGAACTGGTATTAGAAATCACTTGTTAAAAAAAAAAAATTACTTGTAGTCTTTATTCCAATTATTATTATTCTTTAGCAAAGAGAATTCTCAGCAAAGAGAATTTGAATAGGGATTACTGTATTCTGTGACAGAAGTGGGGAAATACGGGTAGGATGAGAGACGAGTTTCAGCTCTCCCTAGGCTTTTGTGGTTAAAAGGGCTTGGGAAAGCGACTGGTAGGCCCTGTACCCCCCACCACATTTTGTTTTTCTGGCACCTTAGCATTGTACTGCTGTGATGCAATGATTTGTAGTAGTTTTTAAAATAAGGAAGGATTGGCAGGATTAGTCAAGTTTTGCTTAATGCAACAAAAGGATTACTTTGAGTTACTTGTAATATATCATACACTGTGTCATATCAAGGTCATTAATCATGTTTCTGTAAATAATGGAATTTCTGTTTATGTGTTTGGCAGGTTTTCCTGCGGCCCGAAGATGTCACAGTTGTGTTCAAATAAAAAATGGTAAGGATTCTAAATGACATTTTGATTCCACTTCTGTAATTGTATCTGCTGAGAATGATTTATTATCTAATGATAGTGTCTCAAAAGAGATGTATAACTTTGGGGGAAATCTTGAAGGTTAACCTTAAAGGAAAAGTTACAAGTTATGCATCTCTTGGCAGTTTCCATAATGTAAACTAGTTCAGTGTGTGGATTCCCTCAGATATAAAAGAATTAAAAAATTGCTAATAAATAAGCTTGTATTAAACCTCCTGATCTTTTAGCAGCTGACCTCAAGAGATGTCTGTGGTTATGTTGTAATACTATAATGGTGACTGCTTATTTGATACATACCTCAGTGGACATTGCATTAAAATTTAATAATACTCTTTCACAAAGTTGATTCTATTCTCTGATGTCAAATAGAACTCTGAGCCGGGGATTTAGCTCAGTGGTTCTGCCACCTGCCTCACAAGTGCAAGGTCCCAAGTTCAATCCCCGGTACCCCCAAAAAATAGAACTCTGAGCTTATTCTTTGGCCATATTACAACAAAGGCATTGCATGGCATCAGAAAGCAGGAGCAGTTACTATTTATCTAAGTGTGTTGAATGACTCTTCTTTGAATAACCAGCTTCTTTTATAGTTTGATACATCTCCTTACATTTTTTTTTTCTAGGAGGAAGGTATATATAAATGAGTCTGATAAACTATTCCTTTGGCAGCATAGTTGAGATTTAACTTGGATTATTTAAGTATCTCTACTATACACGGGCTTTTCATTGTACTTCTGGTTTTGGATAAGATTTATAGATAGTGGCATTGTTCAGCTTTGCCCCTCTGAGAATGGAGCTGTGTTTTCAAGGTTTTTTTTTTTAATAGTTTAATTAAACATTGGCTTAAACTGGATCTAGACCTGAATTAAGAGATTTATTCACTTGATTCTTTCAGGCCAAGCACTATACAAATGGAATTTAGCCTTAGTTCTGGGCATTTAGTCTGAAGGTTCACATAGCCTTTGTTATAAGTTGACTAGTTAGAACTGATTTTACAAAAACAAAAACATCTATTTTTCCTTTTGGGAAAATTGTGTCCCTGATAAAGAGTTGTGCAGGTCAAATGGAACTTCAGAAAGCCACCTTCCTGCTAAAGAAAGCCTGGGAAAACCTTTCTTGTCACCCTGAACTACACACTGCAGTGAGTTTCTCATTAGGTTAAATGTCCACATGGAGGACAGTTGTCTCTGTGGGCACATAAATGCTCTTTCTAGGACACTGTTTAGAGGAAGAGTTTGAAAACTGGTGGTCTGTAGGTGTGTTATGTTTGCATCCTGTGTGCATAATTCTTTTTTGTATTAGTAATTTCAAAAATGAAAATATTTTTAAAAAATCAAAATGTTTGCTAAACATGGTGGCACACATGTATAATCCCAGCTACTTGGTAGGCTGAGGCAGTAGGATCACAAGTTCAAGGATAACTTGGCAAGACGCTATCTGAAAATAAAAAGGACTGGGGATGTGGCTCAGTGGTTGAGTATTCAATACACAATAACACACACACACACACACACACACACACACACACACACACACATACATACACGTATTCATACAAATCCAGATTTTCAACTTTCTTGAAAAAATGAAAGATCCGGCAGTTGTTCACTTCCCTGACGCTGGAGCTACATAACCACCCCCTCTTTCAGAGCTTGTTTGTTTCCCTTGGGCCTCCTGTTTATTTTCCTTAGGCCCCCTTGACTTTGCCTTTCTGTGCCTGGAATCTAGAGGTATTTGAATTTGAAAAGCCTGGCGTGGAACTTCTTAGAGGCTTGCATCCTTAGCCCCAGTAGGCTCTGACATAGTGTCCCAGTTCTATTGAGAGACAAGCCAGCAGCACGAAAGACCACACAGCTGAAGTTCTTTCTCTCACAGTACAATCCACTGAACTGTCAGCCGGCTCTGTGATCTACTACTATAAAGCATGCTGTAGCTTTGGCTGTTTTCCGTTGTGTAATTTTGGCTTTCTCTTTTCTTGGCAGATGTATTTATTTGTGGGGGATATAATGGAGAAGTGATCCTGGGAGATATCTGGAAGTTGAATCTGCAGTCTTTTCAGTGGGTGAAACTCCCCGCTACCATGCCAGAGCCAGTTTATTTTCACTGTGCAGCTGTTACACCAGTAAGTTTTTATTTTCATATCTTCCTTTCATAGTTGTAGATGATAAGCAAATATTTTTAGAGATACTAGCAAGAAAGAAGATGCTGATATTGGCAAACCTTGGATTAAGAATGTTTTTTTAATTTCCTATTGAAGCTAGCTCTTCCTCAGAGAAAAGGCAAGGAAAATACCATTGTATCCAAATTAGAACACCATAAATATAAAAGAAACACTACATGTGACAGTTTAGGTCCTGACAGTTATATTAAACATGTGTCCTGGAAGAATAGAATAGCTTTATCTCTGACATGTGTTACTGAAGTATGATACCACTGTAAAGACCTTTATTTCCATCCTCGATCCTAGATTTGACTTTGGATACTTAATATAATCGAAGTTTAATGTTAGCGAATAGAAAGTAAAGTTGTTGAAGTAAAAAACACACACACACACACAAACTAGTTTTTTTCCTTAGTAACCTATTATTATTTAAACTGTGTTGATCTCTGCCTATGTTGGCTTCAGTGACAAATTCTTCTGAAGCTGGAAATTGAACCCAAGGCCATATGCACGCTGGACAAGCACTTTACCACTAAGCTATATCCCCAGCCTGAGAAACTTTTTGTTTCATGTCATCTTGATTCAATCTACTATCTACTAGGCTTTTTTTTTTCTTTCCTTTTCTTGCTGAGCCTTCAGCCTTGGTATCTACTTCTGTCCTGTTAGAATGTGTCCTGTTTTGACTGCTGTTTGTTCTTAGGCTGGTTGCATGTACATTCATGGAGGAGTGGTGAACATCCATGAAAACAAACGGACTGGGTCATTGTTTAAGATCTGGCTGGTGGTGCCTAGCCTGCTGGAACTGGCATGGGAAAAGCTGCTCGCGGCCTTCCCCAACCTAGCAAACCTCTCCCGAACACAGCTTCTGCACCTTGGACTAACACAGGGACTCATCGAGCGCTTGAAATGAAGATTTTTGGAGTGTTCATTGATACTGGAAATGTTAATTTAAGAGACTCCTTTATTTATGGGCAGTGTAGAATGTGCTACAAAAAGGATTGGTTACCCTGATCAAGGCCTTATTCAGAAAATACATCAGATGCCTTTCCGTAAATTGGTTTTTAAGTTTATGGACACATCACTTTCCATGAGCTTTTTACTTTGTTTCTTTCCCTTCTGCCCCAGCACACACTCATTCACTCATTCACATATTCCCTCTTTCTTGATAGAGTTGAGGGAAAGCCTGAAAGTACCTTACTAATTTTATGAATCAGGAGAAGATAAAGGAATTTTTAAAAAGGAATTCTGAACAAACTGACCATGTCAGCCAATGCTCTATAAACAATAAAGATAAAATTTTAAAATCCAGCAACAGCTACAAGAAGTAGTTTGGAGGATAGAATGACAAGACTGACCTTTACAATCTTGCAGATTATCCTTAACCTAGGTGTTTAACCTGCTGGTTTCAAAATCTGTCAGAGTAGCGGGCTCTAATGACAGCAGTGGTTGACGTCTTGCTGCATGAGTACCTGAACCTATCCTTTGGCTTTGGAGTAAGGTGAAGTAGCCCAGCGACTCTTGGTTAGTGATTTTTTTCCCCCTCATCCTTATAGTACCAGCAGTGGATAGAGTTGGCTCGTCAAAAGACTTGTATGTGTCATGGTCAGTCAGTCTTGTGTGTTATGATTGTCAGAGTTCTTCTTTCTCAGCAGTTTTAAAATTCTCTGATGCTTAGTAATGGCTTTAAATTCTTCATGGGGAATTGTAGACCCTAAATATGCAGTGTGAAGGCCATGGAGGGGAGAGCAGGACAGCAAGCACCTGTGCCCCTCAGACTTGCTAACTTGGCTTCTGCTTTGACTGTCCTATTGGCCACTTCCTTCTCAGAACTTGTTTCTGTCCTAATCTCTGGACCATGTCCCTGCCATTTTGTGAGGCAGTTGGCCCAAAATTACGCCTTAGCTTGTTGCCTCTTTTGCTGTCTGCTTCAGTGTGCATGGTGCTGTATTTGTCTATTAAGTGGACAAAAGTTCTTGAGAGAAAAGCCACAGGTCCTTTCTGAAGAGTTAAGAATCATTTAAAAACTAGCACAAGGAAGGAATGAAACTGAGTATCATTTACTTTTTTTTGTGCAAAAATTTAGTTCTGTTATGTTTTGTTAAATGAACCTGTGTTTTTACTTGTTTTGCCATCATGCTGCTAGAGGGGTTGAGCAAGATGCTTGCCATGAGCATCTGGGCGTCTGCAGGTGTTCTCAAGGTGCTGAAGGGGTGGGGAGGCACAGTGCTGACTCTCCCAAGGTCCCTTCATGACAGGACACCCACATGGGACATTTGGGATGCATTTTTCCTTTAAGTGCCTCTTTTTCACCCAGCTTTTAAAATTCTTCTTTTTTCTTTTACTCCAGAAGGGATCTCTTTGGCTTATGTATGGATTTAAAATACCTTTGAGTTACGGCTAACAAATTCCCATCTGGTCTTCAGTTCTGGGGAAGAGAAAACTGTGGCCTCTAGACTTGGACCCCTAACTTCTAGGTCTTATTCTGTCCCATTCGTGTTGGGTTGAGTTCATAGAGCATGTATTCTGCAGAGCCTTGTAAGAACTCATCTGTGAGTTCGGGTCCTTTCTCTTGGGAGTGTGAGGGAGATGCAGAAAAAAGAGCGGCTCCCCTAAGGGTTGCATCCCCTATAGTTTGTCATTCCCAATCCTGTGGTTTAATCTCTTACCACCTGCTGCTAGGCAAGTCAGTCAGAACAGCTCCACTAGTACAGAACAGAGCCTTGATACGTGATTTCAGCCTAGTCTCTGGCTATTTGGCGGAATTATACCCCAAACTAAACACATGATGCTAATTAGGGCGGCAGAAGGATTGTTGCCATTGGAATACATAAGGACCAAAGACTGAATGCTCAGCCTCTACATTAGGCTTCTGTGGTCCTTAGGACACGAGCAGGTCTCTGGCTGTGCTGCACAGAAAGCTGGAGACATGCGCTGACCCATGTTTGCTGGCATCTTTTGAAATCCTTCTGAGGGCAGTCTGCTTTGAGGTAGATGTTGGAGGCCTGGCATCGAAGACCTTGTGTGTGACATTTTCAGAAAAGAACGTGTCCTTGGTCTAAAGTGTCTTATCACACTAGTGAAAATGGTACAGCCAGCTTGGGAGTATGGTAGAGCCCCTCCTATGCACGTTTGTCAGTACCAAATGAGATTGTGTATGAGGTTAAATAAGGGTGACTAGACTTTTATAGAAGGGTCACCAGGCACTTTAGTGTATCTCTAGCCAGCACTTGGAAGCAAGTGATGCTATTACTTGGTGTAGGAAAGGTTACACCTACTGCTCCTCCACCTCTCCGCGGTGCTCCCCTCTTCCTGCAGTCCTGGAAGCTGAAGTGCAATATATAGAAATACATATAGATATATACAGATTATATAGAGGGTGTGGCTATATAACAGCTATCTTTTTTTGTATCTGTCTTGGGGAGGCCAGCTCACTACTTTAGATAAAATTATGACAAGAATTCTTAGTGTGATCACCTGGCTTAAGCCAGCTCTTGATAAAGCTGGATTTTCAAGTTCATGTTCTCTTACTCCAGTTCATAGAGACTTACAGTTCCTTGGTTTTGTTAGAGTTCAGATTTTTTCCCCCCAATTACCTTTGTACTATGTTGTGTGTGTACGTCCTTCCCGGGAACAAGGAAGTCTACTTGTAAGACATTTCCCAAGTGGAGAATTAAAACCTAATATTTAGTGCTGTCATTTCTCCCATATATACACTAACTTATCTGGGACTGTAATACTTTTATCAAATAATGAAAATGATGCTTTCCTCATTTCATAAAGTATTTTCCACACCCTGAACATAGTATAAACTGATATAGAATAGATTTTAATCATTCTTTAGGGGCCAAACAAAATCCTTTCCACTGGCAGAATCTTCTTTTTTCAGGGCCCCGATGACACAGTGAACAACTTTGCTCTGCACCATTTATGTCCATCATATAGATAGATTTTAAAGTATGAAACTATATATATTAACATTTCCAAGCAAAATGTATGTTGATATTGGCCTTTGGGTACCCAGAGTAGTAAGAGTAAAGCACAGATAACTGAAATCCATGGCTAATCAGTGTTTCCGATTTTCTGCCAACAGTTGATTCATTTACATTTCTTTTTCTATCCTGTCGCTTTCCCACAAGCACCTCCTTTTCAGTGGGATAAGTAGTTGGAAAAGGGGGTGTCACAGAGGGGCTAGCAACCAGCAAACATTCAGCCCTCTTCGCTGTACTCGGTCCGTGCAGTGACCATTGGTGCTGCCGTGAGGAGCTCCAGGTGGTGGCTCTGAGTGGAGGTGTCTCTTGGGCACTGTCTCCTGCCAAGTCCTAGGCTGGCTCCCTTAAACCACCAGAGAACTTTTGGTGCCTGTGGGAAGAACAAGCTGCATGCGACAGGCACAGGGATCCCATCATTTAAACAGATTTCTTTGGCTTTTTGACAGATCTTTGCTGTTCCGTTTCTTCCTTTGGTGATACCTTCTCCAGTTGTTTAGCCTGGTATATAGGAAAGCTTGGATTATCCTGAGTGTGTTGGTCTGTATACCCTAAAAGCCCAGCTTGTTTTTTTATGTTCTTAGAGATGTTTAGAGTGGCACTGTCTACCTGCCAGCAATTTGATGTAGCACAAAAAACCATTTTCTTTTTTCTTTTTCCTTCATTTTTCTGGCATTCGGCTCCAGGGTAGATGAGGGTTTATGGCCTTATAAGTTCCCAAAACTGGTCACATTAGTTGAAATGGTGTTGGTTCCCTGGATACCTTGGACCTCTTGACTGCTGGCAGGGCCTGAGGAAGGCTCTGTGGAGTTCTGCAGCCTTGATGTGCCACCACCAGAGCATGACCAGCAGTGGCATTTCCCTTCTAAGGTTGTGAAACTTAGTGGACAGTGACCTTCCCTTGTCTGGTGTTATAAACAGAAGTTCTAAGTCGTGCTTCAAAAGTGATACCATCTTTTTGGTGTAAATTTCATGTTTTTAATTTTTTACAACTCGTGAGAAGTTCTTTCCTGGCCCTGTTTACTGTACAGGGTGAGTCAGAGGCAGGTTTCAGAGAGAAAGCCAATTTCACGAAGTGACTGCTGTTTTCCTAGTTACACATCTGGAATATAAAGGAGGCATCGGAAAACACACTGACTCTCCTAAGGCCACTGCCTTGCATAGAGCTGCACCTGGAAACACAGGCATCTCCCAGTACCTGTGCTTACAGTGGCGAGCTGCTGGGAGAACCAGGCAAGAAAGAGGGACCTCTCTCTCTAAAACGCAGTCTCTGAGGGGTGAGCCCAGGCTTTGCTCTTTCTGCAGGGTATACTGAGGCCACACACAATGCTTGCCGTATTTTAAAGCTATTTGCCACAGTCCTCTTCAATAGTGTGGAAGTCCTTTTGCAGTCTGGTGTGCATGCCATATGATCAGGACAGCTTTTCCACCTTCCCTGGTTTCCTACAAGCAAGTAGGAAATATAGTGAATTTACTCTGAAACATCCAATCTGTATTTATGTACTTTGTCAGTGTTTTGCTGTTGGTTTTCTAAAACAATCTGATCAATAAATCTTATTCAAATCTATTTGGTTCAAGGCCACCTTGCTTGTCTGACAATAATTTGTGTGTATTGCGCTTTCTTATTTGACATAAGCATCTGTGCCACCCCCTTCACTGTCCCTGCCAGGGTCAGCTTTTCTCTAGTATTTTGAGTCATCCACCTTCTACCCGCTCCCCTGCTGCAGGTTCTTCAGTCTGCTCACCATCTGGAGCTTAGGGAGATGTGGTTGTTCCCTCCATCAGGCCATCAGCAAGGGAGCAACTGTGGGGCAGGCCACACTCTGCTGGACAAGTTTGTATGGGCTCACCTGCACTTTCCTTATGGGTTAGAGGAGCTACAGGGAATTCAAAAGTAGGGACAGAGTCATAGGACTTCACTATCCCAGGGAAAAGGCACGGTGGGAGCTGAGCCCTGTGCAGAGGTTGTTTGGGGATAAGAGCACAGTTCCTGCCACTGGCCTTGGTCTTCCAAATGCTTCCCTCTCCAAAACCTCCACTTTGTGTGGATTCCCATCCAACCACCCTCCCAGCAGTACACCTCCCCACATCTGGGAAATCCAGAGTAGACAAGGGCACCCCAAGTCTACTCACCTCTAAGGTCCCCCTTCCAGAATGGCACATATACTTTTTACTTCCTGTTGTTTCCTTTGGGTGACCATTGGGCCAAACATCCCTTCCAAGGACAAATAATCTTAGATATCACAATGTAAATCTGTAAGGACAAAGAGAAACAGTTTCTGCCTTTCATACAGAGGATTAATAGCTGACACATGTTATCCAGAGCAGTCTTCTTTTCTTTGGTTTATTTCTCTTACCTCTTCTAAAGTGTATGTCCCTCACTTTCAGTGGCTTAGTTGTTTCAGGTGGTTTGTTCTTCCTGTTACATTTATAAAATTCTTTTTTGTCAAAACTCAGGTACTGAGCTATTGTAACTGAACAGCACAAGCGCGCTCTCCTGCAGTTAATCTGCAGTTACTGCTTGAGGCGAGAGGTCACTGGTTAAGCCATCCAGCTTCCATCTTAACTTCAGATGCAAGGCCCACGTCCTTGACCAGCAGAGCTCTCTGCACTGATACACATGGCCTGTACCTGCACTGTGGCAGTCACTGTCCACATGTGGCTACTGACCACTTGAGTGGTGGCCAGTGTGTCTTAGGAACTGAACTGTGAACTGACTGACTTAATTATAATTACTAGAGTGTGAATAGCCTTACATGGCTAGTGGCCACCTATTAGTGTAGTTCTAGAAGGAGATGATAACCTGAGGGCTTGGGAGAGCAGAGGTCTGTTCTCAGCTCAGTCCATGATAGTCTGTCCCGCGGCTGGTGGAGAAGCTGTTTTGGAGCACTTGCTGTTTTGAAGCCCCAAGTATTTCCTAGCATCATAAAATAATTTTTTTTTCCTCTAAGTCCAGCTGTAAAGGGTTGGGTGTTTAAAAGGCCATAGTGAGAGTATTAATGAAGTTCCTCCTAGATTCAGATGCAGCCTGACTGGCATTTGGGAATCTGACCTAAAGGCTGATGGTAGGAAAAAATGGAAGGGAAGCCAAGCTTTTAAAAAAAAATACTATTCACCAAGTTTTAAGTGTGCTTTTATCCAGTTGCCCAAAGCCTATTCTTTGCCATCCTTTCCATTTCTAAAATCCCGCACACAACAAGGAAACCCCACAGCAAACCCTGGGCTTGTCCTACACGGGCCCAGGGTCTGCCAAGCGAGCTGCTTCTCTCAGCGCCTCTGGTGGGTAGCTGTGTAGGAAGGAAGGTCACTCGGCCCTCCAGGGCCTGGGGGAAAGGCCAGAGATAGCTGGGAGCTCTGGGTGCGTTTTGGGACCCCCGCACCAGGCCAGGAGCTTTAGAGCAGTACTGGAAATGGCCAAGAGGAGAAAGCTGCCAAGACGAAAACTGGTCAGTTTATCCTTTTTGAACCTTCCACCTAAAGCTGCCTGGCTTCAGGGGCTCAGGAAGTGCAGGGATGAGTCCAAAATCTCCCCGGACCCCTCTAAAAGAGCACACACTTACTTTAAACCTCAAAGAAGTGCACCCAGGCCATCCAGGCTTTTATTCCAGGCTCTCATTACCAGAACCTTATCCTGAGACAGCCACACTCAGGTTATGGCTCAGGTGTCAGCATCTGCCTGTGCTCACCCTGAACAGTACACAAAGATGTGGTCCCCAAGAATCACAGGCACAGAGGGTGCTCAGAGCTGCTTGCACACGAGGGAGCCCAGGACTAGACTGCCAGCTTTCGCTCTGACCCGAACCCATCACACTGGAGAGGCCAGCCTTTGTCCTATGATGTAGCCCAGCGTTTTCTCCTCAGCAAACCTCTACTGGAACCTAAGCCTGGAGATCTTAGCCCCTTCTCATAGATTGGTAGGCCAAAGCCAGCCAAGGTAAGTGCTTGCCAAGGGAGTTTCCAGATCCCCTAAGCCAGAGGAAGGTGCCCACCCGTGACATGATCCTGTGAGGTCTGGCTTAAAAGGACGCTCTTCCCCTGCACGTGCTCAGCTGCCTAGCTGAGAACCCTTAAAGGGGAACCAGGGGTTGGGGTGGTGGGGACAGGGCTTGGGTGTGCGGTGAATCCTTGGGCTGGGTGGGGAGGCTGTTCTAGAAGCAGGTGATGCCCGCTGACCCAGGAGCAGGCTATAGCAAGATGGCCTAGCTAAGGTGCTCCAGCAAAGGCATCACCAAGAAGTTGCCCTGCACGGTTTCTCCGCCGCCCCCTAGGGGTGTCGGAGCCCTGCTAACAGCACCTAGTAACTCCAGGGCTGGGGTGCGGGTGGGGCTTCCACCTGGAAGGGGCGAGGGGTCACTCAGCAACTGAGGAAGAGGACAATAACGTTACCAGGAGCCTCCAAGAACTGAGCCAGTTTGCTTGGGGGAGGGTTAGGAAGGTGAGAAAGCGTGCTGCACCCCTTTCCCGGGACAACACCTGTCTTCTGACTCCTTCGGAGGGGACCCCTGGGGATCCCAGGAAGAGGCGTGGGAAGCAAGGACAGAAGGTAGCGTGCGGCTTGCAGAAAGCTGGGGGAACGCTGGGCTTACAGCCTAAGCACGGCGGGCAGCACCGAACGTCCTTGTGGGGTCGCAGGACGTCACCAGACCTGGCAGTGGCGCAGGCACTAAGCGAGGGCGAGCTTTCAGCTCCCTCATCCTGGCCTGGCCCACGCAGGGCTCGTGACATAGTGACACCTACAGGTCACAGTAGCTGTCCAGCACCCTCGTGTAGCACCCCAGAAGGTGTCCCAGTGCTACCCGGCCCTCTGTTCTAGCCAAGGCTCTCCCGGCTGCAGGACCTGAGACCCAGTCCAGTCACTGAGAGCAGGCCCGCATGCTCGGACCTTCCCCACTATCCGCTCAGGCCCAGGACCCCCTCCTTCCTCCCTCCACAGCCCCACAAAGTGCTGCAGGGCCAAGGAATGTGGGGGGGGTCACACATAGAGCCGGAATGATCTGGTTTAGGGCGGGCTCCCTCCCTCCTGCTCGCCCCGCCCACCTCTCCTTCTGCGACAGGCTGGTTTCTGCCGCAGTCCCTGACCAAGGTAAACAGAGCGGGGAGGGGGAAAGAATGCTCCGTTTCCATGGAAACCCAGGGGGTAGTGGAGGCGACTCTACTGTGTATGACTTCCTGGGGATGAAAGGGCTGAGAAGCCTTTGGGAGGAAGGTGGGGTCATTTTGGAACCTGGGTGGGGGGACTTGGGCTCCCTCCACAAAGTGAGGATGAACCCTGGGAACAGGAGGCACTCCTGTGGCTGGGGTCGTACCAAAAATGCAACCATGGGCTGGGGATTTAGCTCAGTGGTTCTGCTGCCTGCCTCGAAAGCACAAGGAACCGAGTTCAATCCCCAGTACCCCTCCCCCAAAACATGCAATCATCAACCCAGGGAAGAGAAAGTAGTCGCCAAATCTCTCAGGAGCCCCCAAACACTAGCCTAGCTGTCTTTTTCCAGAAAACTTCCATGGTAGCTTAGCTAAGGGGCAGCCTCAGGGGTGAGACTGACAGCCCCAGGGACCGAGGCCCAGGGACAGGTTGTTTCTGAAACAGGCTTCTATTCCCCCCCCACCCCGGGTGGCCCGCTTGTTCTGTCCCTTAGCCCTCACAGGAGTGTACCCAGGCCTGGGAGAGAACCAGGGAGAGGGGTGGTGGGCGGCTAAGAACCTGGGTGGTTTGAGCATGCAGCGGCAAGGACCATCTCCGGAAGCAGGCTGGGAACGCTCTGTAGCTGAGCTCCGCTCCTGGGGCTGCGCTGCTTCTCAGATGCTTGCAGGGTACCTGTGAGACCCTTGGGATCACAACGGAGGAGGCCAACAGAACAATTTCCCCTGCAGCTCTTTCTGCAGCCTGCAGACTCCACAGTTGCCTGACCTAAAGCCTGCCTCTCCGTGCTTGGCAGCCCTGGGCCTCAGCACTGGCACCAATCTCTGCCCTGAATGGGCCTCTTGTGTCCACATGGCGCCCCTCACCTTTGGTGCTTTATTCACTGTCATCTCAGTGAAGTGAGGTTGAGCCAGGGCCAGAGTGTCAACTATGAGGCCACCCAGCCCTCCTTGACACCGTGATTTTAAATGGTTAACACCTCCCCACACACACTAACACTGTTTCTTCCCTTCTCACTTCATGTTCATCTTATTATTGGACTCTCAGAATGGCAGTGCACGAGGGCAGGAGGCATCTCTCCCTTGTTCTTGTGTTCTCGGTACTCTCCAGAGCCTGGCACACAGTAGGTGCTCAGTATTCACTGCTGGATGGATATGGGGCCACAGTGACAGTAGGCTGTGTCCTTTCCCTGTTCTCGAAACACCAGACCTGTGCTGCTACCTTACGTCTATCTGCACATAGGTGTAACATGCTCCCGATAGGGCACTCAAGCATGTGTCCAGGCTACTCCAAAAGAGAAAAAAAGCACTAGCTTTCGCAGAAAGAATACAAGTGAATGCTGCTGCTTCTTCCCGGCTTGGTATCCCCACCAGGCTTTGAGTCCTTCGGGTGACAGCATCTAGAAAGCCGCCCTGCGGTCCAGCGGCCTGCCTGTTGGATATGGCAGGGTGGAAG